ATATGATAAATTATATATATATATATATATATTAAATTATTTTATATTTCAAACAATAACAATTCGAACACGATCGATCAGATGATTGTTCGTGTTGGTTCGTTTATAAACTAAACGAAAAAAAATTGTTTTTTTTCGTCTCATTTGCTCATCAAACAAATAGAAAACAAACTCCTTGGTGAGCCGAATACGAACAATTCGCGAACAACGAGTTTTTTTGGCAACCCTAATTTTAATTAGTAAATTTGGAGAATTAAATTTCTCTAGTTACCAAACTGCAATTTATTCTATATTTTGAACCTTTAATTATTGAATTCTTTTATGATGTGGGTTTTGTATTGTTCATGAGTTCACACAACTCGATAAATACTATGTTTTTAGAAGAAAAAAATGAAAATAATGTGATGGATGTGATGTTAAAGCACAAGTTTCTCAATTTTATATTTTCTCGTGATACTAAGTGGCTTGGAATAACTCAAAGAAACGCTCTCAATTTCCTGGTAACAAGGGGAGAGAGATAATTATTTCTTAGAGAAAGATTGCACCAAAGGCTCGGAGGTTGCAAGGTCCTTTTTGAGAGCTCAAATGTCAGTCCCATGAGAGCCCATTTAACCTCCCTTTTATGCATGAGATTAAAAAAAAAAACTCCTAATGTCACATTTTGTACAATGTTTTGTGTGTCCCCAATATCTTGTTAAAATATTGTGTTATAAATAAAAATTGGCTAATGTATTCCGAATTAATGATGATTTTTCTATTGGCTCGTTTGCCCCATACTAGTTCAATCACTTTGGCGGGTGGGCTTAACTCGATAACTTCGGCAGATGGGATTTGCTTGACCATTTCGACAGATGAGCTCAGCTTGATCACTTCGATGGGTGAGCTTGGCTCGATTCGTTCATATGGCATCTTTGAAACCCATAAGGAATGTTGATCCTTATGTCATGCCCTCGAAATAAACTTATTTAAGTACACAGTCGTATAATGTTATGTATTTTAAAAAAAATAAATATCCTCTCACATATATGTTAAAGTTAAGATAGTGATATTTTTTAATGCAATATAAAATATTCGGATGATATAAATGTAAAAAACAGAGTTTAGTCCTTAGACATATAAATACATAGGAATTGAGTGGTGTGTATGTAACTGACACTAAAATATAATAAGAAAATTCAAATAAATTTTAGTTTATTCGGTTTAATAAAAATCAAAACACAACTTATAACTAAGCATTAAATATCAATATTTTAAAAATCTAAATGCATTTTTTAAACCAAACCGATTCAACCAAATTTATTTAGTTATGTTCAGTTTTTTGGTTTGACTAAAGAATGCACACCTCTAATAAAGACTAATGTTGTGTTTAATGTAAGATTATAATTTAATTCTCTATGTCAAGAGAGATGAAGTGTCTCTGTACTTACAAACATATATAATATTATTTTTATTGGGCTAGATTCATGTTTATTTTTTATTATTTTTCCACATAAAAATTCGGGTGTTTGTCTTTGCTAAAATTACTTATTTATGTGTGCACCATAATTTTATGCATTACTAAAACGATAAATCATTACTCTACCACCACAAAATTTCTGGCTATGAACAATTGTTATTATTGTCCTAAATCTTAGAATAATATTATGATAAATTTGAAATGCTTAAAATAAATATCAAGGATATATTATATTTAAACCACTTTTAAATATATTTTTGGTTCTTTGAACTAATTGTTTCATGTTTAATCAATGAATTATCAAATTGTTTGAATTGTAAGAAACACCTAAAAAAACATGATAAAACATAATAACAAAAAAGATGATTGAGAACTAGATCAAATGAGATTTAAGGAAGCCTCATTGCCCTATTTACTGAGTTAAGAGCTCTAAATTCAATGAAAGTAGTTGTATTACAAGCATTTATTTATAATTCAAGACTAATTTAGTTATTTAATTACCTTCATTTTTTTTGCATCACATTCTTAACATACAACGGAATCAATGATCTAAATATATGCTACAAAAAATTGACCAATCAGATCATCACAAATTGGATGGCACATAAATCTAATAGTTTGAGATAAGTTGAGCAAATGCCTACTGAGATCATGAGTGACTTATCGTGACTGAGAATGACAAGAAACTTGGGCGATCGAAGTAAGGAGAGCAGAGGCGCACGACTAGAGCCGAGTGATCAAATCGGACTAACGATGGCCGACTGATCAAGAATGATGGATGAAGTATGAACAATAGGAGACAAAGGGACCAAGCCCAAATGGTTTCATATAGTTTACTTCCCAGAGGTCCCAGTTGCTATAAGGAGGTAGGGGCATTAAATTTTAGGAGATTCTCATGTCTTGTCACAGTTAGGACTGTCAAAACAGCCCGTTGTTCACGAACAACATGTTTTTGACATGTTAAGAAGCTTATGTTCAATTCATTCGCTAAGTTAACAAGTCAAACATAAACATTTTTTTGGTGCTTCATATATAAACGAGTCGAATACGAACAAAAATGTCAACTGAGATCATGAGCGACTTATCATGACTGAGAATGACAAGAAGCTCGGGCGATCGAAGTAAGGAGAACAGAGCCGCACGACTAGAGCCGAGTGATCAAATATGATTGACCATGGCCGGCTGATCAAGACTGATGGATGAAGTCCGAACAATAGGAGACCAAGGGACCAAGCCCAAATGGTTTCAAATAAAGTTGAATTCCTAGAGGTCTCAGTTGCTATAAGGAAGCAGGGGTATTAAATCTTAGGGGATTCTCGTATTGTCAAAGGTAGGACTCTCAAAACAGCTCGTTGTTCTCAAAACATGTTTTTGGCTCGTTAAGAAGCTCATGTTCGATTTGTTCGCTAAGTTAACGAAGCAAACATAAAATTTTTTTTTGGTGCTTCATATATAAAAGAGCCGAACACGAATAAAGATTTACTTGTATGTGTTCGATTGGTTCTGGCTTGAAATACTACATATAAATTATGTGTGTTTGACGAGAGGAGCATGACTTAGGTCATGCGTCATTCATATTGATTAAGTTGACACACATATACTATTTCCCATTAGCCTTCATGACCATGACGACATTCAATATCTTAGTGGGGTACTATTCTTCACAGATGTATCCCTCTTCTTGAAGCTTCAAAACCTCTTTCTTGACAAGTGCTACCGGCGTAGTTGCCGATTTTCTCACCTTTTGCTTGATCTCTTGGATTGTAGGGATCACATTTAGTCTGTGGTAGGATACATCTGCTAGTATCCTTGACATCTCTATGACAGGCTAGGCGAAGATGTCACAGTGGTCCCTAAGTGCTTGGATTAGTAGTCCCTACCATTTTGCATAAAATTATTGCTTATTAGAAAAGATTTACAATGTTTTTCCATGCTGATAGGGACTTGTGAGTGGTCTCGTTGATCTCAAGACCACCCTCTCTCCAATTCTGTAGGTCGAGTGGCTTCTGCTTGATGCTCCCAGCTGCCTAGATGTAGCAGACTCGCAACTGATCCTGATCTCCCCTAATTGTGATCACTTTGCCATCATTGGGGAATTTGACTGCCATGTGGTAAGTAGATACCACGACTCTAAATGGATTCAGGAGTGGTAAAAAAAAGATGGCATTTTATGTTGGTGGTGAGTCCACTACTAAGAAGTCTATTTCCTTGAACTGCCTTTCCTCTTCGCCTCAGGTAACCGCCAAGGGCATTATGCACAACG